AATTTGCTTTTCGCTTTTTGACTAAAAAATTTCTGTGTTTGTGTTCTGCGCACAGGTTTTGTAGGAAAGGTTTTTCTTCTTAGACCGTCAAGTGGTTTCTCTATTTATTTTGGCTATTTTCCGATAGCAAGCAAAGAACATTTTTCTACTAAGCACAAATATGTTGATTAATCGCCAATTGCAATTATTAGATAAACGCTTCTTTCCATCGTGTATATACGTTTGTTTGACGAATGAAAAAAAAAACTTAGACATTTAAGATGAAAGATGATTTTTAAATAAAGTGAATAATAACAAAATATTACAAAAATTAATAAAACAGAGAGAATAAAAAAAAAACAACAATGCGTTGCCACAAACTGTAACAAGAAAAATAAATTGCAAATATTACAAAGAAAAAAAAATGAAAAGAGAAAAATTATTCATTTAACAAATGCAAAATATTCAAAAATGATTTAAAAACAGAAAAAACTGCGAGCTGAAACACTACAAACGAAAAAATGATAAACATGTAACAAAGATGAAACACAAGTGTACAATTATTTACCAATTTTTCGCATTATTTGCTTAGCGATACACAACAAAATGCCTTAATATTTCTTGTTCAACTTTACTTTGTTCATGGTCAGTTTTTTGTTTTGTGCAAATGTGTGTATTTTTATAGAGCCGAAGAGAAACATTTTTTAAGCGAAAGCAACCGAATATATAGAGTGAATAAAAAATATGTGGATTTTTTTTAGATGAAAATGTCACCAAAAACTAATGAAAATGAAGTAGTTTTTTTTTCAACAAAATTATGAAATTTGATGAAATTCAAGTTTAGAGAGAAGAAAATAAAAGAGCACGCGATGATTCCCATGTTATCTACAGCTTTCAATTAAAACACTCGCATTTTTTTTATTCGAAATAAAATTGAACCGATGATTTTCTCTTTATTTTTGTTTTTCGTTATTTTTTTTACATCACATTTGTCTTTTTTGAGCTGGTTTGGTTATTGTATTTGAATTGGTTTTGTGATGGGCACAATTTATCTACCCGGTATTTATTGGGAAAACGGCAAATACGTGGTATTTACCTGAAGGCCAGAATAGACGTCCAGAATTGGGTATTTTTGCCATCGTTTTGTGGATGTTTTCCAATGAAAAAAGCAACACAATGCTATTTGATGCGGCGCAATGAATTAAATTATTTTTTGATTGATAAATAGTTATGAATGATTTTATTTGGTTTGTCATGGTTTTCATTAAAATTTTCTCCAATTCGATAGAGAGGCTTTTCTTCAAAATTTCGTTGGTGTCACACATACACACATGATTCGAAATTCAAATGTTTTTCATTAGGATAAGTTCAATTAGCTTTCACTTGAAATTTTCAATTTTTTTTCGTCATGAATTGTATTCAAAATTATGAAACCGAAGCCGAGCGAAGCAAGACGAGGCAGCTAGTAATAAATATTTCCCAATTTTTTTTTTAAATTAAAAACCATTCACGTTTGAGTAATAATAAATAATTTAACGAAATTTTAAACGCAGTTTTTCAACTCGCAGTTTTCAAGATGTAAAATATCTTCAATTTCCTACTTATTTGTAACCGATGTTACATTTTTCTGATTTAACGTTCATTATCCCATAGTGAATGTACAAAACAATAGAGAAATTCCA